ACACAAAAAACGTACAGATTATATACATATTGATTGTGTAAATAACCCTTGGTCTGTACTGTGGTCAATTTGGCCGATAAATGTTAGAAATTTGGGCCATCAAGAAAATGGCAAATTTTTATAAATAATATTCTACCTACTATGAATACCAACAGGTTTGAATAACAATTGATTTAATAAATATGTTTTTAATGAAATACAAAATACAGTCATTCAAAAGAAAATCTAGACGCGGTTTTTAGCGATTTGCTCTTGAACCTCTAATCCGATTTAAATCCGTTTTTACCAGATTGTACCTGGATAAATATCTGATCGATTGGTATATAATATGTTATTCTAAGTAATTGTTTTAATATTAAAATATAAAATTAAATTTATTATTTTTTATATTAATGTATATCTCTTGAACCAATGGTTCAATCGAAGTGATCTTTTCAGCGATCTATTACATGATATCCCTTAAAATTAAATATAAAACAAATTAATTTTGATTTTTAAAATTTAACGTTACTGTCAATGGGCAATTTTGTGTATTTTGACCTAAAATAGCTAAGCAACCATGATGATTTTGTATATAATGTCAATGGCAACTTTTCTTACGGGATATCATGTAATAAATCTCTAAAGAGATCACTTCGATTGAATCATTGGTTTACGAGATATACACTAATATAAAAAACAAGGATCACACAGCGATGCTATACGATAACCATAATTCGAGTAGTGTTCAAAGAACAAATAATCTATAGATATTGCGTTTAATAATTGTATTTTGAAAATTTAATTTTTAACCATTGTTATAACATTAAAGAATCATTTATCAAAATTTTTCATTGTTATTTTGTTAAGTTTGTATTTTGAAAATTGTCCAATATGATTGTTGATATTTATTCGGTTATTTCATAGAAATCTACTATAGAGTTAACATTACTCCCATAGACTTAACATTACTTATAGGATTAGCATTGCCATAGACTTATCATTGTCCATAGACTTAGCATTGCCATAGACTTAGCATTGCCATAGACTTAGCATTACCCATAGACTTAGCATTACTCATGTTAAAGTATAGCCATAGACTTAAGCTGTAATCCTATGTTAATCTCCCATAGACTCAAGAATCCCATGTTAAAGTATAGCCATAGATAATGTATAAAACCTATGCCATCGTAATATTGAATGGTTGTGACAGAACTGGTATTTCTCCAATAGATTCGCGTACACTCGCCGTACTCTAGAGCCCACGCTCTGGCCGTGTGATCAGCACTGCCTGAATACAGGATTCTATTGTGTGAGAGTAAACACAAAATAGCGCCGCCGTGTCCTCGAAGATCACGGATCAGATCTCCAGTAATAGAATCCCAACACTTGATGAGAGAATCGGCGCCACCCGTGTATATGTGCCTCTTGTTGTTGGGGTCGAGTGCTATACAATTAACGGACCCCTTGTGTCCAATAAGCACTTTATGACATTCGCCCGTTAGTAGAGACCACGTGCGAGCCGTAGTGTCTGTAGAAGTGGTCACTATTAGGTCTAACTCATGGATGCATCCCTTTTCAAGCATCTGCTCGTCTGTCGTAATCATAGCCACTTGAGTAACGGCTTTGTTGTGACCCTAAAAACCATTGGTGTAAATCATATGACATAATGTTTGCTATTTGGTGTGATATAACATACTTCCAACACTTGAATACAATTGTTGTTCTTATCATTAGAAAGAGACCAAATTCTGGCTGTTTTATCATAACTGGTGGATAGAATAAAATTGCCTTCACATACAATATGGTTAATAATGGATTGATGTCCAGTAAATGTGGCCAAACATTGTGCCGCTTCAATAGTCCACAAGCGTATTGTGTGATCTGCAGATCCCGTGACCACCAAATGTTTATGAACCGCACAACAAGTGATATAACCCTATGTATTGAAATCAAAGCACACAACTATTATTCATCAATTACTGCATTATTATCTATAATACAATCATAATATAAAATTATAATTGAGTATAGGCAAAAGATTAATGTTGAGATTGATTTGGGAATATTCTGGAACACTTTTCCAGTTTAAATATTATCTAGTAGATCCAGGTGAAGTATAATCCTCCGTCAAAATCTGCAAATGGCCAGAAATTGCCGAGTTATGGCCAATTTTGTAATCACACCAACGTGTTTATTAGCTTTGAAAAGTAGTGTTTGACACAAAGCATGACTAATCACCAGAGAATTGCATTAAAGTTAAATATAAGACCCCTAATAGTCACTATAATAGTTATGAAAAACAACCCAAATAGTTACTCAAATAGTTACTTATAATTTGACAAAATAGACTTAAAAATTATACAAAATGTTACCAAATGTCAGTTTCACTCTTTAATACCTTGAATATAACTGTTTTTAAGTTAAATCTCTTGTATTTAATTAAATTAAACGTTTTTAAGAATATTTTTAATTATTTTGATCAAAATCCTGAATACATACAACTCATAATTTTGGACATACCATCGCTTTGAATGATAAATTATTGCAATATTTATAATAACCTTTACATTTGTCATAGTTAACTTTATTTAAATTTTTTGCTAACCAACAAATGTAAATTAAGTTGTGATTATCTTTGTGTTTTATACTAAATTATACCAAAAACGTGAAAAATGTGGCAAATAGTTACGTATAAGGTAATAAAAGTTCAAATAGTTACTAACGCCTCAAATAGTTAAATATAGTTAAAATAATCTTTCGGTAAACTGACCCCCTATACATGATCGGTTCACATCCCGAGTCTAGGGGTACTACTATTAACCGCTAAAAATAGTTATTATAGTTAGTTATAAAGAATTATCTTGGTATATTTTAAAAAATAATGTTTTTATGGGCAGATTTTTCCATAGAAAAACAATGGAGTGTTTGTAATAAAACAAAGTCTGTAGAGTGCTAGCTTAATTCGGTCTTCACCATTCGATCCAAAGTTTAAAATAGCGCTACGATTGTATTTGCATATTTCAACAAATTTATATTTTAAAAAATATTATGACAACATATTTACTCAGGGCAATCGGCTATTTATTATACACTAGTAAGTTGTGTGGAAATTTGCATACAAACCTGATGGCCATCAAGTATTCCAATGCATTCGCAAGGATTGGATTGTGTACTCCAGAGTCGGACCAAACAATCCTCTCCACCCGTCACCACAAGAGATCGGTCTTCACTGATATCAATACAATTGATGCCTGACTTGTGGTCTGCAATTGTTTGCATAAGAAATGCCGGCTTTTCATCACTATTAATGGTGCCGATGATAGCACAGGTCTTCGACGGCATACAACCCATTGGCAGTAATCATCACATCAACGGACATAACATTGTATTCTTCAGTAAATCACATCAAAACTATATGAATATACGATATGTGTGCTATGAATATGTGAGATGAACTCAATCGGTAACTTTGTGTTCACTTTCCTCCACTAGATCTCCATAGAGATGATGATTATGTAAAAAATAACTTTGTTTCACATTCAGTGCAATCCTTTCCTAAATAATAACAATTATTACCTATATTTTGAAAATATGTCATTAATAATGCCCTCAATTAATGCAATAAATACAGTACTGAATAATACGAAACAAATGCAATATATGTATAAACATAATTATTTGTTGAATAAATTAATAATTGAATGATTAGATTAATTGCTTACTCATTAAAGTGTGGTATACTGTATTCATTTATGATATTGCCACCATTTAAAAAGACTTAATTTAATAATACTTGTAAAGTAAATAATATTATGTAATATTAATTGATAAGAGTACAAATGCTGTGAAATAAGTTTTGTTTAATGTTTTGTATTGTGAAAAAACATTGTATCGATAGAAGAGGTATAAATAAATTTTTCAAAAAACAATTTTTGAAAAATTGAAATCAATTCTCTATTTAATCCAAATAGGAATTTGAATTATATATTGACTATCAGTAAAGCATTGATTCGAAGGTAATTAACTTTTTGTCCCGAAAGCGGAGAACCTCCTGAAAGTTTGGGGCACACGATATAAAGTGTACACTTTATATTATACACGATATACCACTTTAGGAATATTTTGAAAACATTTTATTTCACTTTTTGGTGAAATAGAATTTCTATTTTTAGCGCCTTTTCGCTGAGACTTTTTGGTAACTTTTTCATTGTTTTGCTAATTTTATACGAAATTAATGGATATATTATAAAATAGTTGATGAATAAATATATTTAGTATTGAAAAATTACAAGTACGCAAACAATGAAAGTGTTGAATAATTTAAAAATTTTATATCTGTAATATATTGTGCATTTGAAATTAATGGATATATTATAAAATAGTTGATGAATAAATATATTTAGTATTGAAAAATTACAAGTACGCAAACAATGAAAGTGTTGAATAATTTAAAAATTTTATATCTGTAATATATTGTGCATTTTCTCTATCATGCGATACTAAAAATTAGAGATTTCACAGTTTTATTAACATTTTAAACTACCATTCAGCTATGAATAATGTCGTTTATAGAATTGTGTATGGGACTAATGCTAATCCTATAGACTAAGTATGTGAAGAAATTACACCTCAGTACACTCAGCATAAAACCCTTGTGTTGTAATTTATACACTATTTATATGTTGGTCACATATAGTTAATGTACGGCAAATTTTCAAAATTCCATAGATTCCCATGTTGCCGAGACGGAAAATAGAGGGAAACTACGGAAAATAAAAAGTAAATCAGGGAAATGCCAAACAAGGGAAAAATATTTTTAATAATTTTGATTATTTTCAGTATTTTTATGTATAAATGGTTTTAAAAGTATAAAAATTTATAAAAATAATCTTATTTAAAATAGTAGTCGATTACTTTTATAATGTTTTTGATGAATAACAAAGAATTGATTGTAACTCATATAGCATTACGTGATCATTTGAGCGCAATTATTACATTTTGATTTAAAAATAATTTACAAATTTATTTAAATTAAATTAATTAAATAGATTTTACCAAATCTTCCTCTCTATTATGTTTAAACATGTTAGGGCACATGTAATAAATACGATAAAAGTATTTATATTCACCGATTGGTCATCGGTTGACCACATTTTTGTCTTATTTTCCCAATTTTAAGGAATATAAAGAATTTTCCGGCGCAAAACTATTTTCCTGGAAGATATTTTTCAAACATGGGAAATGCCGTTCATTACATATAGTGTACCTTAATATAAAACTTAGAATTTCAAAGACACCTTGGTGATTCACTAACCACGTCACATTAATAATATCCCCTGTTTTACTCTGATATGTTTTACTATAGACAATGTCGATCGTATGGGACGAATGCAGGTAGTAGTGATAAATCTATAGACAATGATAACTCTATAGGCAATGCT